AACCTCCATCTCCCGGGTTCAAGCAATTTTACTGCCTCAGCCTCCTGAGTAGCTTGGATTACAGGCACCCACGCCCAGCTGATTTTTGTATTTTTAGTAGAGACAGGGTTTTATCATGTTGGTCAGGCTAGTCTCGAACTCCTGACCTCAAGCGATCCGCCCGCCTCAGCCTCCCAAAGTGCTGGGATTACAGGCGCCAGCCACCGTGCCCAGCCATCTGGGAACTATATTACTGAACTAGAGTAACTTTGGCTTATTTTTCTTTTATCACTACGTCTGTATCAACTGTGTAGGCTAACTATATATGCAAGAAGATAATTTGCCTTATTACCACTGAACTGTTACAACATCATATTATCTTGTTTTAAATCAAGAGGTAATTACTGGTAGGAATATTAGAGGATTTCATGTAGATTATAATTCTCAGTTGATATACAACAGGAGATTATAAAAGCTACCTTAGGAACTGGGACAGAAGAGTTGGCGGCACTGCCAATAAGATAATACCTTAATGAACACAGTGCCATACACGCAGAAAGTGCTTTCATATTGGCTATCCTTGACTTTGCATAAAAGGCAACCTAAGCACTGGCAAGCTGTAAGATTTGTCCAAAATCATTAACACAGGTAGGTCATCAGTCAATGACAACATATACAGTAAGACTTCGAGTCCTTTTTTTTAAGTCGCAAATCTTCCAGTAGTTAAGACCTTTTTTTTTTTAAGAGATGGGGTCTCACTATGTTGCCTAGGCTGGACTTCAACTCCTAGGCTCAAATGGTCCTCCCAAGCAGCTCAGACTATAGATGCAAGCCACCACATAGAACATGTCGACATGGTATTTCTGAGAACTGACATCACCTTTACAACAAAACCAGAGCCCCTATTAAGCATCCAGAATGCTACAGTAATTGAACACTGACCATTTCTTTTCAGGTATACAATCATTTCTGACCAGCCGTCTGTTTTGGCAAACGGTGTTTTCACTCACAACTGCCAACTGCACAGATGTCTTCATTTTGAGGTATTAAAGGTGGTCTTTCTAAATCCAGAAAACCTAGTCGTCTTTCATTTAACAGTAAGTATGCAAGGCACTGTTTTTAGCCAGAGGTTTAAAGGGAGTTGACTGAAAAAGGTTGAGATGTGCTGGTTTTGAAAAGGAAATGTCTTTATTATTTCCTACTACAACAATCCTCTCTGCCTTGTCGCACTAGCATTTGTGACTCCTTGACTTGGTCTAAGTCAGCATATGGTGGTGCTACTTCTAACGCTTCTGGAACCCTCATTAACAAATACCTTCAGTGTGTGCCATTTCACAATGAATTTAACTAATTTCCACCACCTCAGCAGCAGTAAAAGAAGGAAATACTGCCCCACTCATCAAATGTATACCAATTACGGCTTGCTATTTGGCACTATCTGCTTCTATGCTTCACATCAAGTCCTTTGACTTGCTTCAATGTGCATGTGTCAAATTTAAAGCCACTTTTGTCCTCCTGGGCCCACTGGAGGGTCCCCAGCAAGGGCCACTATCCACCGGCTGTCAGGGCAGTTGGCTGGGTACTGAGAGGCTGTTGGAGCCTTATCTTCTTACTTACTTCTGGCCTTTCCAATTTGCTCTATATTCCTATCCATGAAAACCAACCACAAATCCATCTGTACTACCTACCCCTCATCCTCTCTAAAAGCAAACAAACACCACACACACAACACTGTACTGTCTTAAAGTCTTTACAAATGCATACCTCTTTGGATTGAAAGCCCTCTCCCAGTCTTATCTCAAAGGCCAAACTCAAAATCTATTTCAGTGAGACTTTCCTTCATTCTAAAGCAAGGGCTCCCCTGACCCCATCGGTCTCTACTTGGTTACTATAACTCACTTAGCTCCTATTTATAACAAAGGATTGTTTTCTATTTGGGTATCTCATGCACACCAACTTCAGGCTCCCTATTAACAAACCTGGTACACTGTCTTACATTTAGATCAAAGGTGGCTTAACTGACACCAGATTATTAATCTGCTGGCTGGAAGGCTATCATCAAAAGACAGACAATAACAAGTCTTGGTGAGGATGTGGAGAAATTGGAACCCTCATACATTGCTGGTGGGAACATAAGGAGTAGCTGGTTTGGAAAAGTATAGCAGTTCCTCAAAAAGTTAAACACACATTTACCATGACTCAGCAACTCAACTCTTACGTATATACCCAAGAGAACTGAAAACATATATTCCATAAGCTTCTACACAAATGTTCATAGCATTATTTATAACAGCCAATCATTGTAAATAACCCCCAAAATAAGTATCAACTGACAGATAAGCAAACTGTATCATACCTACACAATGAAATATTATTCAGCCACACACACAAAAAAATGAAGTACTGATACATCTTAAAACACACTGCTCAGGAGGCTGAGGAAGGAAGATCACTTGAGTCCAGGAGATTGAGGCTGCAATGTGCTATAATCATGCCTGTGAACAGCCACTGCACTCCAGCCTGGACAGTAGAGCAAGATCCCGCCTCAAATAAAAAAACCAAACAAACATGGAAAACATTATGCTAAGCTCAAGCAGCCAGACACAAAGGCCACATGTTCTAAGAATCCCCTTATAAGAAATGCTCAGATCAAGCAAATCCAAAGTGACAGGAAGTATATTAGTGGTTGCTAGAGGCTAAGAGAGGAATGGGACTTCTTTCCGGGGTGATAAAAATGTTTTGGAATTAAGCAGCAGTGATGGTTCTACAACCTTGTAAATATATTAGCAACCACTGAATTGTAAACTTTAAAATGGTGACTTTATTGGTACGCAAATATATTACTAAAAAATTAAAAGGAATGGAGACCTGGCATGGTGGCTCATGCCTATAATACCAGCGCTTTGGGAGGTCAGGGCAACCAGATCACTTGCCAGAGTTCGAGACCAGCCTGGTCAACATATTGAAGCCCCGACTCTATTAAAATACAAAAATTAGCTGGGCGTGGTGGCACATGACTTTATCCCAGCTACTCGGGAGGCTGAGGCAGGAGGATCACCTGGGCCTGGGAGGTGAAGGTCACAGTAAGCCAAGATTGCACCACTCCAGCCTAGGCGACAAAGTGAAACTGTCTCAAAAAAAAAAAAAAAAAAAAAAAATTAGGAGGAATGGAAGGAAAAAGGAAGAGAAGGGGATGGGGAAAAAGGGAAGAAACAAAGAAGGAGGAAGAGGGGAAGAAAAAGTGCCGGGCACGGTGGCTCACGCCTGTAATTCCAGCACTTTGGGAGGCTAAGGTTGGTGGATTATCTAAGGTCAAAAGTTCGAGACCAGCCTGACCAACATGGAGAAACCCCATCTCTACTAAAAATACAAAATTATCTGCGCGTGGTGACGCATGCTTGTAATCCCAGCTACTTGGGAGGCTGAAGCAGGAGAATGGCTTGAACCCAGGAGGCAGAGGTTGCAGTGAGCCAATATTGCGCCATTGCACTCTACTCTGGGCAACAAGAGCAAAACTGTCTCAAAAAAAGAAGAAAAGAAAAAGGAGAGAAAGAAAGGGCACCTAGACCAGCCTGGGCGCGGTGGCTCACGCCCATAATCCCAGAACTTTGGGATTACTCCCAAAGCACTTACTCCCCAAGGTTAACAAATGTTACAATATGCAAAGAAACATTTTCAAATTAGCATTACTTATATTAAACCAAAGAGGTTACACTTCTTGATTTAAGCTAACCAATTCAATTTTTAACACCTGCACTAAAACCTGGCTTGACTAAAACTTAATGAACTAGGACAATAAAGAACACTGAAAATAATAGAAATTAGAAGAATTTAGAATCTTTTTAAAAACTTGGGACGTAAAGAGAATGATCACATACAGTGACAGAAAGTTTCAATTAAAATAACTTTTCTGTCCTGAGAACTGGAAGGAACAAACAAGTATGAAGTTTCTAATGTGTGAAAATGCAGGCAAGGGAAACAAGCTGGGTTATCACTAAGTCCCTAAATCATGGAAGGAGAATTCTCCCCAGTATTGGCTCATCCTCCTTTGTATAAATCTCACATTTTATATCACACTAAAACTAGCCCATATGCAATATACATATGTCATATATAGCTAAGAGCCTATCAATAAACCTCATTATGCCAACTCAAGCAGCAATATTTACATTCCTGGTGGGATCCAGCTGTTGATATTTAACTTTAATTAAATTTAGGTAGAAAAAAACAAAACTGTTTCTTTATGAAAAGAGATGAAATGCCAAAGACAACCTGTCTCAGAAAGTTCCGCACCTATTTGTTAACTAAACAATCCTCAAATTTCAAATCCTTGTTGCAATCAAACCTTTACAAATGTCACTGCAAAAATAAAATACCCTGATGCAATAGATGACATCAATTAGAGTTGTGTTTACAAGTCTATCATTCATAGTTATAAACCTTGACCTTAACAACAAAGGACTATCGTATTCCTCTTCGTAGTCAGGCATTAAGCAAATGTGGACACAAGAACTAATAAAACTCCCTAACTACTACTCCCCTCCCAAGATTTATAGCTCAGTATTGAACTGGATTAGGCACCCTGCTAACTACTCACATTTTACTCATTATATCTATTATGAGAGTAGTTAATTATAAGAATATTACACTGTGATAAATCTAACTATGTGTATAATTTTGGAGGTTTTCTCATTCACTTAACTTGGAGCTCCATAATGGCAAACAAATCCATACTGATCACTGCTATAGCACCAGCATCCAGCGGGGGACCTCAGCAATTATTGGTAGGTTAGGTGACTGAATGAATAGTCTCTAAAACACAGCAGATACCAATAGATGTCCACTGAATTCATTAACAAGAAAGGACGTACTTTCTAATTGCTTTGTTACTAGACATATAAAACTCTATCAATACCCATTTACAATAAAGAATTAAAGAGACAGCAATACTTAATCTATAACACTGTATTTGTTCTCTATTTCACTAATTCACCTAAAAAAAAAAAAAAAAAAAGCCTCACCATTACTAGGTGCCTCTAGGGACTCCTTTGCAGGTTTTCTCTGGTCTTCATCTTCCTCAGGATTTTCCCTGGACTTTGACAGCCGGTTTCTTAGAGACATCTTCTCTTCACCCACCATTGTATTGTCTAGGAAAGAAGGTATAAAAAGCTTTTGTATTAGTCCATTTTCACACTGCTATAAAGACACTACCTGAGACTGGGTAATTTATAAAGGAAAGAGGTTTAACTGTCTCACAGTTCCGCATGGCTGGAAAGGCCTCAGGAAACTTACAATCATGGCAGAAGACCAAGGGGAGGCAAGGCATGTCTTACGTGGCAGCAGGACAGACAGGGCAAGGAAGTGCCACATTTAAAACCATCAGCTCTCACGAGAACTCCCTCATTACCACGAGAACAGCATGGGGGAAACTGCCCCCATGATCCAACCACCTCCCATCAGGTCCCTCCCTTGACACGTGGCAATTACAGTGAGAGATGAGATTCGTGTGGGCACACAGAGGCAAACCATATCAGCTCTGAACTAAGCATCTGGCTTACGTGAACTTCACAATACCACTACATTTAGGATAGGTGAAATGTGATGATATATTCTCTTCCTTTTGCATTAATCACTTCAAAGCATTTTCTGTGTACAAGATACTCAAGATAACAAATTTGAAGAAATCAGGTCCTATAAAATAATTTCACTGGTTTAAACATAGACCCCACTTTTAAAGAACAATTTAGTTGAAGAAAGCATTAAGTATGTAAAAAAAAAAAAAAAAGGATTAAATAGTAACAGGTAACTACAAAGATGCCACAAGGTGGAGTATGCTTTAATAACAAGGTCAATGGTAAAAACAATACCTTAAGTTCAGAGACAGCAGAGATCAGCAGAAGATGTAAAGGTTTCACAGAAAAGAAGGTATTTGAGACACAGTCTTGAAGAATGAGAACTGTGCATTCCATGTGCAAGAAAGGATTAAAACAAGGACCTTATAAGCCCTGTTCAGGGAACCATGACTGAACTGAACTACAACAAAAACAAATTTTTAAGTATCTACAAAGTGCAAGGACCCTGCCAGGTGCTTTAAGTTTTCTCATTTGATCTTCATAACAATTCTGAAAAAAAAAAAAAAAAAATTACCCTCAGTTTTCACATGAGAAAACAATCATTTAAAGTAGTTACTGGCAGTGTCCTCCACCCATGTACCAGGAATACACCTGCAGCTGAACAAGTTGAATCCATAGGAACACACACCAGAGCCCCAGGTACTAGAGTCTCCTTTTCTTCTCATTACAGCAACTTGCCCGAGACCACACAGCTAACGACAGAGCCAGACTTGAACTGGCATTAGTTGGATCCAAACTACAAAGACCACTAACTACTGGGGGAAAAAAGTTGGTAACAGAGAAATGTGATGAGGGAAAAGACTAGAAAGGAGGACAGGAGTCAAACTATAAAGGCCTGAGAAATTAGAAATTTTTCAGGAAGGCAGTGGTGAGACACTTTAAGCACTAAAAAACATGATCAAAGTCACAAAGATCAATATCAAGACAAGTACAAGGTTTACTCTAAAGCCATGTGTTTCACTAGCATGGTGCCAAGCAGCCGTAGTCCCAGCTACTTGGGAGGCTGAGAAGGGAGGATCACTTGAACCCAGGAGTTTTGAGTCTGGCGTGGGCAACATAGCAAGACCACATCTCGAGAAACAATTATTTATGTATTTATTTGTTGAGAACGAGTATCGCTTTGCCCAGGCTGGAGTACAGTGGCGCGATCTCGGCTCACTGCAACCTTCGCCTCCTGGGTTCAGGCGATTCTCCTGCCCCAGCCTCCCGAGCAGCTGTGATTACAGGCGCCTGCCACCATACGTGGCTAATTTTAGTATTTTAGTAGAGACAGGGTTTCCCCATGTTGGTCAGGCTGGTCGTGAACTTCTGACCTCAAATGATCCGCCTGCCTCAGCCTCCCAAAGTGCTGGGATTATAGGCATGAGCCACCGTACCCGGCCAAAAAAACAATTTTAAATAAAAAGTAAAGCAGTGTTTCACTATGTGATAAAGTTTTCAAGAGTCTAAAGCAAGAAGAAAACAACTGTGAAATACTCATTACATTATTCTAAAGCTACATATCATTTCTGAGACTACAGTCTTTCCTAATTTTTATATCAAAATATCCTTTTCTGTATAAAAGGATGAAATATAGTACATGGTGAGTTTGGTTGTTTTTCAACTATCACAACTTGGCAAAGTAGAAATCTGACAAATCTAGATCAGCTTTCTTCTAATTATTTCTGAAATCAAACAAATGAAACAATTGTGGAATAGCAGATGAATATATCAAGTAGAAATGATATCATAAGATCTAATTAAGAGGAACTGAAGGGAAAAGTCAGGGCTAATTAATCACAAGATGATGCCCAACTTACAATGGTCCAATTCTGTGTAAAAGCGACAGAGGAAGCCACAAGAGCATCTATCTCTTCATCAGAAATGATGAGAGAAGTGAGAACTGAAAACTAAACTTTGAGGGACGGCCTCAAAGTAGAAGAAATCAGAGAAGAAAAAGAAAGATGCAAAAGGAACCAAGATGTTTCAGTAAGAGAGGAATTTTACAAGGAATAACGGGAATTTTTTTTCTGGCCAGATGATGGGGAATTTAAAGTAGATACTCTTTTAAAGAGCATATAGCAAAAGTTTAAAGCATAAAAGACAGCAAAATGAGGCCAGGTGTGGTGGCTCAGGCCTGTAATCCCAGCACTTTGGAAGGCTGAAGTGGGCAGATCATGAAGTCAGGAGATCGAGACCATCCTGGCTAACACGGTGAAACCCCGTCTCTACTAAAAATACAAAAATAAAAATTAGCTGGGCATGGTGGCGGGCGCCTGTAGTCCCAGCTACTTGGGAGGCTGAGGCAGGAGAATGGCATGAACCAGGGAGGCAGAGCTTGCAGTGAGCTGAGATCACGCTACTGCACTCTAGCCTGGGCAATAGAGCAAGACTCCGTGTCAAAAAAAAAAAAAAAAAAAAAAAGACAGCAAAATGATTAAAAAATAAATGCCAGATTAAAGTTTATTACCCAAACCCTATGAAACAGTATAGCACAATGCAGTATTTCTCAAAGTAGAATACTAACAGCTGATTTTTTTAGTGCTTATGTGTTCTACATGTATTATTTTCATCTCAATAGAATCAAGACAGATACTATTGTTACTCCCCAAATATTCTTTGGCCACCAGGGGGTCCCATATACTCTTCCCTGTCTATAGAAAGCTATTTCTCCTCTGCCCTTTTATCTAGCTAACTCCTACTCGAGCCTTCAAAGAATCACGGCTGCAGCAGTAATAGAATTAATACCAACAGTTCTGATTTAATGAGCACCTATTATGCACTGCCAGGCACTGTGCTGCTAAACTTTTTACATTACATTTAATCTTTACAACCTTAGATAAGTATTATATCCTCATTTTACACATGAGTTTAGGGACGTGATTTAACTTGTCCCGAATCATATAATTCTCCAACAGCAGAAGTAGAATTCAAAACAAAGACTATCAGATTCTACAACCTGCCCTCCTAATCGCTGGACTGCCTCCAACTCACACCCTCTGAAGTTTCCTCTACCACCGCCTCTCATCTTACCCTCTCTGCGGTCCCACTATACTCTGCGCATCCTGTCACATGTTACGTTGCCCTATAATCAGAGAGCAATACTCTCTGTCTCTTACATTAGGCTTAAGTTCTCAAAGATAGGGATTACATAGTATTTTCTGTAAGACTCCCCCAAATCTAGTGTGGAGTACCTGGAGTGCAACAGGCAGGCATTAAGAGAGAAAGCGAATGTATCAGTTAACATGTAACCAATTATTCTAAGTACAAGACAGTCCCTGACTTATGATGGTTCAACTTAAAGTTTTTCAACTTTATGATGGTGCAAAAGCAACATGCATTCCGGGGAAATCATATTTAGAGTACTCATACAACTATTCTGCTTTTCACTGTCAGTGTAGTATTCAATAAATTACACGCGATAGTGAACGCTTTATTGTAAAATAGTCTGTGTTCAATGACTTTGCCCAACTGTAGGCTAATATTAAGTGTTTGGGGCATACTTAAGGTACACTAGGCTAAAAATACAAAAAAAAAAAAAAATTTAGCCAGGCGTGGCGGCAAGCACCTGTAATCCCATCTACTCAGGAGGCTGAGGCAGGAAAATCGCTTCAACCCAGGAGGCAAAGGTTGCAGTGACCACAAGTTGTACCACCATACTCCAGCCCGGACAACAGAGTGAGACCCTGTCTCCAAAAAAAAAAATATAAAAAGAGGGTCCTTGGTAATAAGATGAGGAACCATCAAGCTACTTTAGAGGAAACCTTACATCAAAAGCTAAAACAGGGCTGGGCATGGTGGCTCACACCTATAATCCCAGCACTTTGGGAGGCTGAAGGTGGGCAGATCACAAGGTCAGGAGATGGAGACCATCCTGGCTAGCCTAGCACGGTGAAAGCTCGTCTCTGCTAAAAACACAAAAAATTAGCCAGGTGTGGTGGCAGGCACCTGTAGTCCCAGCTACTCGGGAGGCTGAGGCAGAAGAATCGCTTTAACTTGGAGGCAGAGGTTGCAGTGAACCTCAATCGCGCCATTGCACTCAAGATAAGTTAGATCAAGTCACTTCACAACTCAAACCCCTTCAAACATCGTAAGTCCTTACCATGATCTAGTAACTCCTGCATTACCTGCCACTCACCACCAACTCCTTAAATACCATCAATTTTTTTTTTTTTTTAAGATGGAGTTTTGCTCTTGTTGGCCAGACTGGAGTACAATGGCACGATCTCAGCTCACTGCAACCTCCACCTCCTGGGTTCAAGCAATTCACCTGCATCAGTCTCCAGAGCAGCTGGGGTTACAGGCCACCACACCCAGCTAATTTTGTATTTTTAGTAGAGACGGCGTTTCTCCATGTTGGTCAGGTTGGTCTCGAACTCCCAACCTCAGGTGATCCACCTGCCTCGGCCTCCCAAAGTGCTGGGATTACAGGCGTGAGCCATCGCACCTGGCTTTTTTTTTTTTTTTTTTTTTTTGAGACGGAGTCACCCTATGTTGCCCAGGCTGGAGTGCAGTGGCATGATCTTGGCTCTCTCATTTTCTCTACTCATTACTTTGGCCTTCCACTGTTTCTTAAACAAGCGCACTGGCTCACGCTTGTAATTCTAGCACTTTGGGAGGCCAACGTGGGTGGATAACGAGGTCAGGAGTTCTAGACCAGCCTGGCCAAGATGATGAAACTCCGTCTCTACTAAAAATCCGAAAAATTAGCCAGGGGCGGTGGCGGCAGGTGCCTGTAATCCCAGCCACTCGGGAGGCCAAGGCAGAGAATTGCTTGAACCCAGGAGGCAGAGGTTGCAGTCAGCCGAGATCATGCCACTGCACTCCAGCCTGGGTGACAGAGCTAGACTCCATCTCAAAAAAAAAAAAAAAAAAAAAAAAAGAAAAGAAAAGGAAAGGAAAGAAGAGGACAGGACATGGGATATTTCACAATTGGGGGACATGCATAGCTACGATTTGATTACATGCACAGTTTTAGAAGGAAGGACAAAGAAATATAGTGGAGTATGCTGCAAGTAAGTTGAGGAAGTGAAAACAGCGATCATAAGACTAGTCTCTCAAGAGGTCTAGCAGTGAAGGAATCGCTAATGTTTAGGAAGCAGGTAACTAAGTGCTGAGAGCAGGAGGTGTAGCACATATCTCATTTAACATGTCCATTTTTAAAGATGCAGGAGATTCAGAAATGCTAACAAACTTATTCAAAGTCACAGGTAACATAACGCTAAGTAGACAGCTATTTACACAACACACTGATTGAATAAGAATTTCTTAAGAATCTAATCTGTGCACGCAATTACATTATAATACAGTGTGATAAGCATCTAACTTATCTTAAGAAAGCAAAACAAAAAGAATTGATTTGAGAAACAAATGAACTTGGAAAGACATGTCAACTTTAGCCTGCTCAGTGTTCCCATTAATAAAGCTTTCAAAAGAGCCCATAAATCTGAATCACAAGGCCGGGCGCGGTGGCTCAAGCCTGTAATCCCAGCACTTTGGGAGGCCGAGGCGGGCGGATCACAAGGTCAGGAGATCGAGACCACAGTGAAACCCCGTCTCTACTAAAAATACAAAAAATTAGCCGGGCGCGGTGGCGGGCGCCTGTAGTCCTAGCTACTAGGCCGGGCGCGGTGGCTCAAGCCTGTAATCCCAGCACTTTGGGAGGCCGAGACGGGCGGATCACGAGGTCAGGAGATCGAGACCATCCTGGGTAACACAGTGAAACCCCGTCTCTACTGAAAATACAAAAACTTAGCCGGGCGAGGTGGCAGGCGCCTGTAGTCCCAGCTACTCGGGAGGCTGAGGCAGGAGAATGGCGTGAACCCGGGAGGCGGAGCTTGCAGTGAGCTGAGATCCGGCCACTGCACTCCAGCCTGGGTGACTGAGCGAGACTCCGTCTCAAAAAAAAAAAAAAAAAAAAAAAAAAAAAATGTGAATCACAAATACTGAGTGCCCACTCCAGGTGAAGAACTTTGCCACATCACCCTTAGATTCAGTGGGGGAAAAGGGACACAACTGTGGATAGAATTTACAATCCAGAGCAAAAAAACTTTCCCTCTGGCACCCAAAGGTTTGCCCTAACACAGCGCTACAACTTTTACATGTCACAGAACTGGGTCATTAAGTAATTAGCAGAACTAAAGAACAGGAACAAATTCTCATTTACATCTGTATGGTTAGTATAATCTCTTAACCAATGTGGCAAAAAAAAAAAAAAAAAAAAAAAAAAGCAAAACAAAGCCATCCTCTTAAAAAAATGAACTTAGCTAGTCTTTGTTAAAAACTTTCTCCATTTTTTTTCCCATAGGAAAAAGGGACTCTTCCCTGGTTAATACAGTAGTTCTCCCATATCCATGGGGGATACGGTCCAAGACTCCCAGTGGATGCCTAGAACGGTGGATAACAGTGAATCCAATACACGTTGTTTTTTCCTACACATACCTATTATAAAGTTTCATCTACAGGCTAGGCAAAGTGGCTCATGCCTGTATTCCCAGCACTTTGGGAGGCCAAGGCAGACAGATCACCTGAGGTCAGGAGTTTGAGACCAGTCTGCCCAACACAGTGAAACCCTCCCAGTCTCTACTAAAAATACAAAAATTAGCCAGGGGAGCTGGTTGCGGTGGCTCATGCCTGTAATCCCAGAATTTTGGGAGGCTGAGCCGGGGATCACCTGAGGTCGGAAGTTCAAGACCAGCCTGATCAGTAAGATATGACCAGTCTTTACCAATAAAAAAAAGAAAGAAAGAAAGAAAAAAAAATTAGCCACGTGTGGTGGCAGGCGCTTGTAATCACAGCTACTCAGGAGGCTGAGGCAGGAGAATTGCCTAAACCCAGGAGGCGGAGGTTGCGGTGAGCCGAGATCGCGCCATTGCACTCCAGCCTGGGCAACAAAGAGCCAAACTCCATCTTAAAAAAAAAAAAAAATTAGCCGAGCATAGTGGGACACGCCTGTAATCCCAGCTACTTGGGAGGCTGGGGCATGAGAATCATTTGAACCTGGGAGGCAAAGTTTCAGTAAATTAGGCATAGTAAGAGATTAACAATGTATTGTATTAAAATTCACTTGGTCTCTCTTGGAATGTCTTATTGTACTCTTGTTTCCCACCTTAGGTAGCTGACACTACAGAAAGCGGCTAAGCGGGGATCACTATATTTCTCATTCAAAAGTTCCTTCCTCTGTCTACCAACTTACTCATTCTTTCATTGGGCCAACCCTGAGAATTAACAGATAGGCTAAACCAGCCTTCATGAAATGTACTAGCAGAGGAACAAAGCAACTAATTCATTACAATTAATGATCAATTTCTGCTAAGGAGAATAAAGAGTTCGTGGAGGGCTTAATGGGGATGGGGTGATTTCCAAAGGAAGCGATATGTGGGCTGATACATGAGGCAGGTATAAGAGTTGGAGGGAGGGAGAGAATATAGCATTAGAGGTGGAGGAAACTCCCAAAAGCCAGGAGATAGGAAAGAAAATGTAGCTTTCCAGTAACAAAAATAAAGCCAGTGTGGCATGAACCTGGAAAGCCAGAAAGAAAGTGGGCCAAATGAACCAGAGATAGAAAGAGTGTGCTCACTCAGTAGGTCTTTATCCTAAAAGATTGCGAAACCTCAGAGGGGTTCTTAGCACATGATTCACTAAAACACGTGCATTTCTAAACGACAACTCAATGCCACAGAGCTCCTTCCAAAACCGATTCTCACACCCAGACAACACACAGACTTCCTTAACAAGTCATTCACTGACACCGCCCAACTTTTAAAAGGCACACACACACACACACACAAAAAGCTTCAAATTGAATTCTACTTCAAGGAAGAGGAAACCAAGTACGCTGAAAAAAAAAAAAAAAAAGTTTAAATTGGTGGCAGTCACTTAAACATTAAAAAGTGACCAACAGGCCAGGTGCGGTGGCTCACGCCTGTAATTCCAGCACTTTGGGAGGCCGAAGCGGGCGGATCACTTGAGGTCAGGAGTTCGAGACCAGCCTGGTCCAACATGGTGAACCCCCGTCTCTACTAAAACTACAAAAATTACCTGGGCGTGGTGGCGCACGCCTGTAATCCCAGCTACTCGGGAGGCTGAGGCAGGAGAATCGCTTGAACCCGGGAAGCGGAGGTTGCAGTAAGCCGAGATTGCGCCACTGCACTCTAGCCTGGCGACAGAGCGAGACTCCGTCTCAAACAAACAAAAATAAGTGACCAACGAACTTAACCTATATATAAATACAGAGAATAAAGTTTATATAGTTGTTTCTCACTTAGAGATGGTCGTTCAATATACATATTATTTAAATTACATGGCCATTAACACTTAGGGAAAACAGAAACTTCAGTACATCCTAATATTTTAAAATAAAACATGAGCTTGATTAAAGGTTCTGGTGCCCATACAGATTTTCATGTCTTGCTAATGCCATCCTTCCCTTCACACATTTTCTCTAAATCATTAAAAAGCTGACTTCCTGAGTGCATTTTTGGTTTCGCTTTTTAAAGAATAAAACGTCTTCCAATTCCTAACTTTCTTTACTACCGACTTGAGAGATGCCACGAGATTTCGGGAATACCAAACCAGCGTGCAGGGTTTAAAAGGCTTCCCGTGACCCGGGCGCCTCACGGTAACTTTCCCGCCCTCTCCTCCCCAACTCCCCTGCACTCGCCGAGTCTCGCCTTCGCCCCAGCACAGCCCAGGACAAGGCCGAGTCGGAGCTGCTGCCGCCACCGCTTCCCCTCTGGCTGAGGCCGGTGGACCCAAGCGGGAAGCGAGGAGAGGCGCGGGAGCACCACCGTTACCTGAGGCCCGCGCCCGGCAGCGGGGACTTCAGCCAAGAGGGCAGAGCCGGGAAGCAGTCACAGAGCGGCCAGCCGGAAGGTCGGCTCCGGGAACCTCTCCTGGCGCCCAGCGCCCGCAACGTCGCCTGCTGGGCGGCAGAGAAAGATAAAGCGCCGGACAGCCCGGCCCCTACGCCCCCTGCCTCCGAGCTCCGCTGCGTCACGCGCAGGGCCAGCTCCGGCTGAGCATCCTATTGGTGGTCCCGAGGTTGCCAGGCTCCGCCCACCTCCCCGTCCCTTCCCGGGCGCGCGGGTTCCCGGCGCCAGCGCTCTTAGCTGGCCCTGGCAGCCTGCCAGGTAAGCTTCTCACCTGGACATCATGACACCAGCGACAACATCTTGCTTGACACTTCCACCCTAGCTGTAGAAGGTGAAGCCAAAACCGGACTGCGACAACTCCCTGCAAGTCCGAAACGGCATCCTGCGTGGTAGCATGGAGCTGCGGGGTCGTTTGGCTCCTAGGCCGACTGGAATAAGCCACTTCTGAAGCTGTGGATCATTGCAGTTTGAACTCACCATCCATGAACAACGTAGAACTAGCCAGAAGCAAGAATCGCTGACTTATCTACACACCAAGATTCGTGCTTTATCAGGAGATTCCTTAGGCTTTGAAAAGCAGCGTCCTTCAGCAACATTCAAGCTAGGTAAGGGGACAAAACCTGCACCAAATAATAAAACACACCAAATAATGGGACAACTAAGTAATATTTAAGGGCCCTTGAGGCCGGGCGCGGTGACTCACTCCTGTAATCCCAACACTTTGGGAGGCTGAGGTGGCTGGGTCACCTGAGGTTAGGAGTTCGAAACCAGCCTGACCAACATGGTGAAACCCCCGTCTCTACTAAATACAAAAAATTACCGGGCGTCGTGGCGCGCGCCTGTAATCCCAGCTATTCGGGAAGCTGAGGCAGGAGGATTGCTTGAACCCGGAAATCGGAGGTTGCAGTGAGCCTAGATTATGCCATTGCACTCCAGCCTGGGCAATAAGAGCAAAACTCCTTCTCAAAAAAAGTTTTAAAAACAAAATAAATAGGGCCGGGCACGGTGGCTCACACCTGTAATCCCAACACTTTGGGAGGCCAAGGCGGGCGGATCACGAGGTCAGGAGATCGAGACCATCCTGGCTAACACGGTAAAACCCCATCTCTACTAAAAATACAAAAAAAATTAGCCGGGCGTGGTGGTGGGCACCTGTAGTCCCAGCTACTTGGGAGGCTGAGGCAGGAGAATCGCTTGAACCCGGGAGGTGGAGGTTGCAGTGAGCCAAGATCGTGCGGCTGCACTCCATCCAGCCTGGGCGACAGAGCAAGACTCCGTCTCAAAAATAAAAAAATTTTAAAAAATTAAATAAAATAAATAAAGGGCCCTCGTGACTTCATAATCAAAAGAAGAATGATGCAGAGAGATTTGGGACAGAGATTAAATACAATAGTTAATCGCTTGGATTTTGTGAAGGCAGAGGTGTAGGTGAATTTAGGGTAAAGGTAGGTGAAAAGGCAATGATGAGAGGAGCAGAGACTGAAGAGTTGCACTCGCAGCCTGCAAACTAATACCGGCTAGCCTGGCCTGACTAATTGCTTCTTCCCCACTCCTCCCCAGGACAAAAATCCCCGAAGAAATAGATGAGGTTTAACAGAACTGACTACTTCTGTGGTCCTTTAAACAAAGTGGATTTGTACACGTTCCCTTGGCCACCCAGCAGGCTGCACTGTTCACTCAAAGCAGAACTGGCCCTCAGTGTCCAGTCGAGTTTAGTACTGGATGTCATTGGCAGAAGTGCTCCATTTGGCCTCTTCTACAACTGTGATTGCCACGTGTGCCAACTAGTTGGTGACAGGGTCTGGTAGACCCCAGCTGCTTCCCCTCCCTACTCCCACTAGTTATAGAGCAGTAGGAACATAGGGACTCATTTCTGTTGGGATTCTGTTCGCTACCTTTTATACACACCAAGATGACCCGCTTTTTCGCTGTTTGATTCATTCATTCAAAAAATATTGATAGTATTCTTGGTGCTAGAAATACAACAGTGAATAAACAGAAGAAACCCCTGCACTTAGAGGCTTATGTTCTGCAGGACTAGGTATGAAAGGAAACAAACAGGTGGCTCAAGCCTATAATCCCAGCACTTTGGGAGACTGAGGCAGGAGGATCACTTTGAGGCCAGGAGTACAAGACCAGCCTGAGCAGCATAGTGAAACTCCCTCTCTACAGAATTTAAAAACAACAACAACGACAACAAAATTTGCTGGGAATTGTGGCAGGCCCCTATGGTCCCAGCTACTCGGGATGCTGAAGTGGGAGGATTGCCTGTGGTGGGGGGTGTGGGGTGGGGGGTGAGGGACGGAGGATGCAGTGAGCCAAAAAATCAGACCACTGCACTGCAGCCTGGTCGACGGAGTGGGATTCTGTTTCAAACAACAAAAGATTGTGTTTCTAATGGAGAACATAAGTAATAAAACGAATAGATGAGCTAATCACTGGCAGTGATAAGTATTGAGCAGAAAACAAAACAAAATGGTCAGGGCAGGACTTTCTGAGGAGACAATTTAGGAGCTAAGACCTAAATGACAAGAGGGAGCCAGCCAAGCCAACCATGGGGAGGAAGAACATTCTAGACAGAGGATAATGGGTGTGAAGGCCCCGATGCTGAACTGTGGCTAATGCTGAAGCGTGGCTGTTTGAGGAACAGGCCAGGAGGCTTCAGCATGTTAAGTAGGGGTTTGAAGTTGAATTTAGAGCATTAAGCAGGAACCTAATCACGTTGTTTGGATTTGTCTGTTAAGTGCAAGGCAAGATAATGAAGGGTTTGGGTTTTTGTTTTTTTGAGATGGGGTCTCACTCTGTTGCCCAGGCTGGAATGCAGTGGTGCAATCAGGGCTCACTGCATCCTCTACTTCCCCAGGCTCACTAAGTCATCCTCTCACCTCAGCCTCCCAAGTAGCTGGGACTACAGGCAGGCGCCACCACACCAGACTAATTTTTGTATTTTTGTAGAGACGGGTTTCGTTGTATTGCCCAGGCTGGTCCTGAACTCCTGGGCTCAAGTGATCCTTCCGCCTCAGCCTCCTGAACTGCTGGGATTATAGGCATGAGCCACTGTGCCCAGCCATTGGTTTATTTTTTTTTTAATCAAACTATTTTATAGAGAATGACTTGAAGGGAGCAGAAATGGAACAAAAGGAGCTGAAGAACAATACAAAGTTATTGGGCAAGTTCATGGGGTATATGGTGGTACCTGGACTAGGCTGGTTGGTGTGGAAATAGAAATTGAAAGATTTCAGGATATTTTCCTGAGGTGCAGGTGTGAAGAAAGGTAGTAAACAAGATGAATCCCAGATTGTTTCCTTAAGCAATTGAGAGGATGGTGATACCATTTAGTGCAAGGGCAAAGATGATATATGATTGGAGTGACTCCAAAGCCTCTGCTCAGACTCCAAGCCTCTCCCACCACTGCACTGAAAATCTCACATTACACAATCCTTGGGAATCAAGATTTGGTTAAATGCAAGTGTTGACTTCATCATATTAAAAAAAAAAAAATAGGACACTAATAAGTATAAGCCATTTCAAAACAATGAGATAAGTGTTACAATAAAAGGATGTTAAAGGCCAGGCACGGTAGCTAATGCCTGTAATCCCAACACTTTGGGAGGCCAAGGTGGGCAGATCACCTGAGGTCAGGAGTTCGAGACCAGCTTGGCCAACATGGTGACAACCTGTCTCTACTAAAAATACAAAAAAATAGCCAGGTGTGGTGGCGGACGCCTGTAATCCTAGCTACTTGGGAAGCTGAGGCAGGAGAATCTCTTGAACCTGGGAGGCGGAGGTTGCAGTGAGCCGAGACGCACCACTGCACTCCAGCCTGGGCGACAGAGCAAGTCTCCCTCTCAAAAAGAAAAAAAAAAGATGTTAAAAAAAATTGTTTATTAGCCAGGCACAGTGGCTCACGCCTGTAATCCCAGCACTTTGGGAGGCCAAGGTGGGCAGATCACTTTAGGTCATGAGTTCGAGACCAGCCTGGCCAACATGGCGAAACCCCCATCTCTACTAAAAATACAAAAAATTAGCCGGGTGTGGTGGCAGGCATCTATAATCCCAGCTACTCGGGAGGCTGAGGCAGGAGAATCGCTTGAACCCAGAACCCAGGAGGTGGAGGTTGCATTGAGCGGAGATTACATCACTACACTCCAGCCTGGGCAACAGAGGGAGACTCTGTCTCAAAAAAAAAAAAAAAAGTGTCTACACAACACGGTCATTGTGTGGATTAAATGGGTTAATGCCTTCAAAGCTTCACATATATTTTATTTTTTTTAATTTTATTTATTTATTTTTATTTATTTATTTATTTATTTTTTTTTTTTTTTTTTGAGACGGAGTCTTGCTCTGTCGCCCAGGCTGGAGTGCGGTGAGGCGATCTCCACTCACTGCAAGCTCCGCCTCCCGGGTTCACGCCATTCTTCTGCTTCAGCCTCCCGTGTAGCTGGGACTACAGGCGCCCGCCACCACGCCTGGCTAATTTTTTTTTGTATTTTTAGTAGAGATGGGGTTTCACCACAGTCTGGATCTCCAGACCTTGTGATCCACCCACCTCAGCCTCCCAAAATGCTGGGGTTACAGGTGTGAGCCACCGCGCCCGGCAAAGCTTCACATATAGACGCTGGTATATAGAAGTGCTCAACCAGTTTTAATAGTTAATGTTATTTTATTTTTATTCTTAGTTTTGGAGACAGGTTTCTTGCTCCATCACACAGGTTGGAGTGCAATGGCATGATTGTAGCTCACTGCAGCCTCAAACTTCTGGACTCAAACTGTCCTCCTGCAGCAGCCTTCTAACTAGCTGTGATTAAAGGTGTGAGCCACGAGGCCTGCCTAACCGCTGTTATTATTGTTTATGTTATGATCTTCTGAATACAGTGGGAGCAGGTTAATGATTATCACAGCTGGCAGTTGGAGGAGAGGGAAGAGAGAATGGAGGAAGGCTAACTGAGCCCAGTTTTCTGAACCAGTAGAGGAGTTTTTTTGTCAGGGTAGGGAGGAGGAACATTCCAAACAAAGGGAAAAAAAATCAAGGTCAAAGGCCACAAGGCAATAAGGAGACAGAACCATCCAGGAGACATGAAGGAAGTCATAAGTATTGTTAAAGGGGCCAGGAGTAAAGCCAGTGTCAGGACTTAAAAAGTTTGTAGACCATGTTGA